GATATGTTCGCATACATTTTACCTTATAAATTACACCCAGTCTACTAAGTCGGACAAGCCCAGGGAGGTGGTCGCTGATGGAGAGGGAGGATGAGTTGTTACCTTTGCAGTGACTTTCTCAGGATCACACAGATCTTGGTTTAAGCTTGGGACTAGCTCTTCTGGAGCGAGTCTTTATGTCTGTAGCGGGCAGTCACACTGCCCTTTAACTCTGGACTTGATCTCCCAAAGTAAGACCCATACGGATAGCACTAGGATGACCCCAGGCATTTCTCATCAGGGAAACCGATGGCACCTCCTTGACTAGAAGCTTCACTCTCTCTCCCATCCTGGGGCTGTTTATTTAGTTTTTAGTTCAAACTATATTGCTAGAAATGAGAGAAAGAGACAGAAATTAGTTTTGTCAAAATTTTTGTAAAAAGGAAAAATAAACATCAGTGAGCGCAGCTTGAGTTTTGTTCATTCAGAGGCGTTTCCAGAGAGCTTCCTCCCCGCCAGGCACTGTGTTAGGACCCAGAGGGCCAAAGGCACAGAAGAACTCTGTCCCCTCAAAGGACTCATAGTCTCAGGTGGGAAAAAGACAAAATTACAAATTCAGTGTGCTGAGTCCCAGGTCAGAGCTGTGTCTGGTACGTGCTGTCAATATTGAGAAAAGAGGAAAGGGGTCTTTCCAGGGTGGGGCGACCAGGGAACAGTTTTGACAGAAATGACAACAAAGCTGAGACTTCAAGGACAGTTAGGGGGATGGCCAAGCAAAAAGCAGGAAAGACGGACATTTCAAGAAGAAGGAGCAGCGTTGGGGACGGGGGACCAGGTCCAGGTCCAGGTCCAGGGAGGAGCCTGTCGTTCCCTTAGGCCAAAGAGTAGGGCCAGAAGTAAGAGGCAGGTGGCAAAAGGTGAGCTTGGGGAACAAAACGGAGGCCGTGTGGAGGTCCCAGACCACGTGCGAGAGTGCTCGCTGCACCCGAGTGCACTGACAGGGCCGCAGCCTGTAAACACATTGGATTTATCTCCATTTCTCCAGTTCCTCGCTCCTTCCTACCTCAGAGCTTCTGCACATGTTAATCCCTCTGCCTGAAGATGTTCCCCCTTCCCTTCCTGGACGGCTCCTTGAGATCTTCAGATGTCAGGTCTTAAGTGGATGTTCCCTGACTGTCCTTTATGAAGCTTTTATTCTTACTATTTATGCTGTTGATAATTTAAAAAATAATTTATTTTTTTTTTTTACATGCTTTCAGTTGTCTCTACTTCTAAACTGTAAGCAGTGTAGGTAGAGACTGTGTCTCAAGCCCCTAGCATAATGTCTGGTGTATAGTCTAGGTGTTTGGTAAATGTTTGTTGAATAAATGAATGAATCTTCAGATTTGCCGATTAGATAGCTCCAGCTGACGAGTGGAGAGTAGACTGGAAAGGAAGCCAAGACTGACGGTAGAGACATCATCAGGTGGGAGGTGTGTCCATCAAGTCGGGGATGAGTGGGAAGACCCTGAGCCCTGTCTGCAGGGGGAGGTGGGGACACACGTGGAGTCCAGGGTCACACAGTCCGCGGGGATTAACTGGATGTGGGTGATTGTAAGACGAGGAGTTGGGATGACACTAACACATGGAACACCGGATGAATGGTGGATGGTTCATTGAAATAGGGAATTCAAAAGAGTAAGTACAGGTGGGGGTGGGAAATGAATTGAGCTTTGGATATGTGTGATGAGAAGACCGTGGGCTATCTGGATAGAATGTCCAGCAGATATTTAGATTTATGGGTTTGGAATTCAGAAGAAAGTTATTGGCAAAACATAAAGAATTTGAGAGACATTGGCCTGTAGATTCATCCATCTCCTTATTCTGCTTTGTTTCAGGCCTTAAGGGTACAGTGGTGAGCAAAACAATCATTCTAGTTTTCATGTAAATATAACAGTCTAGACTGGTAGCTGATGACATGGAAGGAGAAATATAACTGAAGAAATACACACGCGTGCACAGACAGGGAGAGGCGGGCACAGGCCCTGGGGAACCCCAGCATTTCAGAGGTGGACAGAAGGAGGGGGCAGCCAGGAGAGGGTGGACACAGAGTCCTTCCCCTCCCAAGTCCTTGTACCACATTCAACTGAGTCTTTAAAATATAAGGTGTCCCAAAGTTTGCCATAAATAGGAAAAATTAACAAACTCATATATGTTTTATATTATTTTATGTTTTTAATACTTTTATAGCAACACATAGAGAAATATTTTGTAAAATTTTGTAATGAGTGTTTTATAAATACAGACACATTTAGCTTTAATTCCCCCTTTTCCTATGTATGTATGTACGGCGACCGTTAGGACACCTGCGTGTTACTTTTGTGGTGTCAGGATTAAAGGGATTAAAGTGCATGTGTGTCTTACATTCATGGTGGATATAAATTCATGGTAGTTCATCCTTAAAATAAGGAATTTCAAAGATTGGAACTGAAACAAGTGTCAGCTCGCAAGTGCGGTGATTAGAGAGAGAGGGGTGAGCGCTGCAGAGCCCCCGATCTCCCTCCTCAGCTGAATTTCCTTGGTATCGTTCTGGTCGTTTTAATCACCCTTAATGTACCCTGTGGTTGGGTTTCCTTTGTTATGATCTGAGGGATAAAATGTGATGTTTACTATGTCCCAAGAAGAAAGAAATGTTATGGTTTGTTTTGCCAAGACCTCATTAGAGAATTTTTATTTCATTTATTAATTTTTTTTTTTTTACTTTTCAGTTTTCTTAATCCAAGAAATGGCACCTTAGTCACTTATAAACACCAAGTAAATACCTGGGTGTGGGTAGTGAAATTTTTTAGGTTTTGAAAGGTGACATTTTTCCTTCTTTTTTTTTAATTTGAGGTTCATCTGAGGGTACAATAATTAGGTTACAGTATTTGTGTTTATAAGGTAAAGTACGAGTTGTAGTTGTGTCCTTTACCCAGGGAGCGTGTGGTCTACCCTTACATTGTGCCCTTAAGATGGGAACTTACCGAGCCTACCCCCTTCTTGAATTTAATTGAGTTCTTCCCTCCTGTGGGCCTGTAGTTGTTAATTTACTGGTTTCAACTTAATATTTGAGTACATGGCATGCTTGGTTTTTCAGTGTTGTGATACTTCACTTACTCCTAACTCGGAGAATGTTCTCCAGTTCCTTCCAGGTTGTTATGAAAGGTGCACAATCTCCATCCTTTTTGTGGCTGAATAGTATTCCATGGTGTACATGTACCTCAGTTTATTAATCTGTTTACGGGTCAGTGGGCACTTGAGTTGTTCTGACGCCTTTGGGATTGTGGATTGATCTGCTGCATTCAAGTCAAATGTCTTTATGGTAAAGTGACTTTTTCTTTTGGGTGGATACCTAGTCATGGGATTGCAGCATCCAATGGAAGATATACTTTTAGAAGTGATGAAATTCATCAAGTATATTTAAGTTGAAAATTTACCATTTTATTTCGAAAAGCACTTGACAACAATTCTGTATCTCCCAAATCAACCCTGGCGATCAGTGGGATGACAGGTGTGGCAGCCAGATCCCCATCACGTCCAGCAATTCTATATTTCAAAACTTGGAACGGTTTTATCTAAAATACTATAGATTGTATTTCATGTAAAAGTTAATTGAAAAAATGTCTTTTTAATCTCAGTAAAAATCTTTCTTATGAAAAAAAATCCAGTGTAAACAAAAGAAGACAAATAATTTGTAGGTCTATATCTAGTCCTTCAAACATGGTAATGTTTTACACGGGTTTATGTACATGACATTTAATAGATATTTTGTGCCTCAGCTAAACTTACCCTTAATAGTGTATCAAATCTAGTTTTCAGCAATAACATATTTTATTTATAGATTGTTATATGTATATTCAGATTGGCCTCCTCTCTTACATTGTATTTCTTAAAGGTTTTTTTTTTCTTTATGACAAAGAATAGTTATTTCAAAAATCCCTTCAGCCAACAATTTTCTCTCACCCAGATTTTTAAAGCCGGCAAAGATGAACCTGGTGGATTCTCTCAACTAGAATCCACCTCTGTGAAACTCACAGAGTCAGAAATTTTTTAGAGGCAGAGAGGGAAACTACATACCATAGAGTATGAATTTCCTGCCATTTGTTAAGTTTTAGATTTCTAAATATAACATAAAATTAAACGAGTGTTTGGTAATAGATGTAATATCAGATATCTTTTTTTTTTTTTTTTGCAGTTTTTGGCCGGGGCTGGGTTTGAACCCACCACCTCCAGCATATGGGGCCAGCACCCTACTCCTTTGAGCCACAGGTGCCGCCCAATATCAGATATCTTAAAGAAAATTAGTTACATTTAGCAAAAATGAAGTACAGAGTTCAAAGATTAAAGAATTTTTGAACCACTGAGTTATTTATCCTTCTTCAAAAAAAATTAACCAATACAAAAAACTTCTATATGTATAAAAAATCACCGTTTTTATTGTGTTTAAGAGAATTTATTTTCATGTTTTATGGGTTTGGGGCTTGCCTTTCTCTATTCCGGTTTTTAAAAAACTCACCCTGTGGTGCCTCTAAAAATGAAAGGAACATCTTTAAATCTTATTTGAGTTAAATAAATGGATAACCAATCCAGATCAGATTTTTTTGGTTAGAGAATAAGAATTTAAAAACTATTATGGAATTTAGCTCTTCTGGCTGATTCTTGAGTATGCTGTTTTCCTCCAAAGGTTAAGGTCTCAGAGGTCACCCAAGGTAACCTTTTATTTTTAATTGTCTTTTGTTTCAGATTTCCTGTTGAATTTTTTTAACCATTTCAAAAATCAGCTAGTAGGTGTTGTGTTGTAGCTTTGCACAACCTCCAGATTCCAACCAGAAAGCTGTCTCCATAGCTAAATGACTGTGTCCTCCCACGGAAGCCCTAAGCAGAGCAGAGAGTGAGATTAGGCATCACACTTTTTAATCATAACGAAACTAATATTTAGAGTTCTGTTGTCAAATGTTCTTCTATTTATGACACTGTGTTTTCTTTTGTTTTTGCTTCCCCAGGACATTTGGGCTTCCAGGACAGTTTTGTCACGTCAGGTGTTTTCAGTGTGACCGAGCTAGTAAGAGTGTCACAGAGTAAGTATAATTTTGCTTTCATTTGGTACAGATTGGCCTTGGGTATGTGCTTAACTTTCTGCCTCGTACTCCTAGACATATAAAAAGCTTTCAGAATCCCCTTTTCATTTGCTTATTGTGAGAATTTTGACACAATGTTCAACTGCCAAAAATTTAAATCAGGAAAGATTAAATATTATTTTAATGTGAGGTATAAGGGAAGGACCAAAATCCTGATTGCAGGATCCAGTATTCCCTAATATATAGCGTGAACTGGGTTAAAAAAAGTCTGAGGCTTTTCTGACTTCCAAGAAATTCTGCCTTTTAAAAGAATTTGTTTTTAACCTTTAAAGGATGCTAATGGCCTCAGTGTGAGTGACACAGTGCAGGATGATCATTACCAGCTTGTCGATAGTCACCAACCACAGTGAACGAAGGGTACCTGTCACCTCCCTGTTCACTGATCAAAGACCCATTGATTGTGCCTTTGCTGTGACACAGCGCAGCAGCCCAAGGACAAGGTGTGTGATTTGCACCCTCCCTCTAACGTGCGCGCGCACACACACGCACACACACACGCCCTCCCTAATGTCTTCGTATTTTTATTTAAAATCGTACCTGCAAGGATGATGATATTCTAGGTCCCAATAAAAAGAAGGGAAAAAAAAAATCGCTTCTCAGCCTTTTGGCTAAGTTCAAATGTAAAAAGAAGGAAAAATAAATACCAAATATGAAAATTTTATCTTTTATCCCTCCACTTACTTCAGAATACCCACTTGTAGGTAAAATGTACATTGTTAAATTTAGTTTCAGGCAGCATCAAGCCCTTTGTGGAATGAGACAGAGTAAGAATAAATATTCCCATGTCAAGTTCATAGAGCCCGTTCACGGTGTCACAGGCCAGGCCTACAGGATGGGTAAGCAGGCCAGCCCTCTCATGACAAGATGCCAGGTCAAGGGGGCAAGCCAGCCTGACTTCACAGGCTGGATTCTGTCTCTTCTTATTTTCTTATTTAGAAATCACCTCCAGTTTTACAGATGTATTAGATTGAGGACCTATTTATTTATCCAAAGTCAAGTAGTGGGTAAATGATTAAGCTAAGTCTCTATAATGCTAAAATCCATACTCTTAAACTAGCCCAAAAGAATTCAAAGAAACCTGGTAGCACCCATAGCTTAGCGGGTAGGGTGCGGGCCACATACACCGAGGCTAATGGATTTGAACCCAGCCGGGGCCAGCTAGAATCAACAATGACAAATGCAACCACAGCAACAAAACATAGCCAGGCATTGTGACAGGCGCCTGTAGTCCCAGCTACTTGGGAGACTGAGGGAAGAAAATCACTTAAGCCCAAGAGTTTGAGGTTGCTGTGAGCTATGACTCAACAGCACTCTACCGAGGGTGACATAGTGAGACTGTCTGAAAAAAAAAAAGGAACTCAAAGAAATCTGTAACGTGAGCCTCAACAGGGCCAAGAGTGGGAAGAGGACAGTCGTGTTAGAATTCTGGGCTCACGGAGGCCGCGCTGCGTACAGAGCAGCTGAGAACCCCGAGGAGGGGCATTTAGAGCAGCAGGTTGTGAAGCCGCTGCTGTCTAACTGAAGTGGGCTTGAGGTGCCATCAGGCCAATAGAGCCTAAGGCTTTGGGGTGCCCTGCGCACGCCCTGGTTGTAACACAGCTGGTTAGCCAGTTATTTGCCATATTCAAGTAACAATGCGTCTGTATATCTTTTTAAGACTTTTGAAAATGATAAATATCCCCCTATTTGTACTCATATTAATCCTTATAATATAGGGAATATATATATATTAAAGTATTCTTGTCATAGTAGCCTCACAGGCAATGCATCCATTCATTGAACCCCTATGGGCATCTAAACATAGCCTAAAAAGTAGCAAACTAAAGGGGGCTTAGTCCAGGCACATGCAAAAACAAACTGTCCTTGACCCCCTACCCAACTAGTATGCAGGTGGAAGGGTGAAAAGGAAATCCTTTGACGCCTGGGATGGAGCTAGACCAGGTTCCCTGGGTGTGGTGTCCTCCACGTCCCAGCCTGGGGTTGCAGGGGAAGGCATCTCGTCCTTTTCCCATCTCCTGAGTTTTCCTTTAAGGCCTCTGTCCCAAAGCCTGTCACTCCCAAGCTTGATTAGCTCTCCATACAGTCTAAGGTAGCATGGTCACCAGGTGAATTCCAAACCTGCCTTCCTGACTGTCAGAGGGGGTGGCTGGACGGGGAGGGAATTCGCAGAGGGACCCACATTTGCTTCCTGTCCCGGTCTGGGGGACTGCACAGCCGTCCTTCGGCTCCAATGCTTTTTGATCCTGCACACTGCTGTGTAATCGCTCTGGGACTCACTCACACACGGCCTGTGCTGACAGAAACTGTTTGGCAGGAGTGGGTCCAAGCTGTGTCAGCTAAATCATGGCTTCAGGCCAAGCTGGCCGACTGTAGTCCAGAGACCCTTTCTTTCCTGCAGATCTTTAATCGAGGTTTGTCAGGGTATGTTTCACAAGACTGCCGTGGCTGTTGGATAGGGACACCCCAGCTCAGATTGCCTCCCCTGCACATCTTTCTGAAGGACTTGATACTCAAGATGCGTGGAGGCGAAATCCTCGACCATTCCGTCCTGTCCTGCCCTCTTCCTCATAGCCCTGTGTTGGAAGAACTAAGCATCCATTTCAGAGCTGCCGTGGCCACTTTCTACAGATGGGGGAGTGGGGTACATTCTGTATCCTTGAAGTAAAAATGAGCTAATAGGCATGTAGGTTGATTAAACACACACGCCCTGTTAGGAGCCTGATATAATCCTAATATGAAAAAGCATTCACCAAGCTTGTACTGTGCACCAGGCACTGTGCTGGGCACTTTAGAAATGTCCTCTCATTCTGTCCTCCCCGGGGTGGTGTTAGTGTCCCTCCCTACAGGTGAAGGGTGCTTGACGCCCCGGGAGGGGAAGCAGCTGCTTCCTTTTCCTTGGCTGTGCTCAGCTAGCTGCACACACATCTTGTCCTGACCTCTCCTGCAGCCGCCTTACAGAGCTAAGCAGGATCCAAGATGCTGTGTTTTTATTGAATAATCAGTTCTTGTTGATTTGATAAACTTGTTAACTTACGAATTTGTGCATTAAAAAACGGTTTAAACTATCTTCTTGTAAACCAAAGCAAATAAAACAATTGATTTTTTTCCTGGATTCATTTTCCAGGTATGATTTTGTTTTAAATTAATAGATTTTTTTTTCCAAGTAGTATTTAGGTTTATAGTTGGAGGCTAACACAAGTAACAAAGTCCCTTCTGCCTCTGTCCCCCAAAACAGTCTCCATACTATTGACGTCTTTTGTGAGGGTGGTACATTTTTACAGATTCAGGAGCCAGTATTGACACATGATTATTGACTGACATCCATAGGTTCCCCTCAGGGCTCACTCTTGGTGCGGTGTATTCTGTGAGTTTTGGCAGACAAGTAACGGCGTGTGTCCGCATCACAGGATCATCCGGAATAGTTTCCCTGCCCTCACAGTCCCCTGCACGCTACCCATTTATTCTTGCACCCTACCCTGCCCCAAGGGTCTTTTTTATTCTCTCCATTGTTTAGCCCTCCACCTGGGTGTTTTTTTTATTGTCTTCAGTGTCTCAGGTACAGGGGTGTCCAGCCTGCAGTCCATAGACCCTTTTTTGCTAATAAGCTTTTGTAAGTGTTTAATGCATGGCCCAAGATAACTCTACAACAGAGAAAAACAAAGTTGGACACCTCTGTCTTAGAATCTCTTCCATTGTTTTACCCCTACCCCCGCCCCCATCTACCTCTAATTATGCCGGGAAATGTCACTGTGGTAACTAATGGTGACCTTAGTTGACATTTCTCTGTCTTTCTGGATCTTTGGTATTCAGTTTTTAAAATTTGTTAATACAAATATTTACTTTCCCCAGGTTTCCAGTTAGTTTCTGTTGTGCGTTTTCCTCCTTTTCAACTTAACAGAGGAGGGTGGTGCTGTCTCCGTGTTCCCTTGTGAGGATTCGCTGGAATGGCCATGTGCTAAGTGTGTTGTTTGTAAGAGTGTTACTACCGAGGTGGGGGGTGGCGTGAGAAACTCAGGAGAAAGCCCCGGGCTTAGCCTCACAAATCCGGAGGCTCAGGGATCGCACAGCAAGGCTGCTTGACATTAAATGACACCGATTCCAGAATCACAGAGCTACTGGGTGGGGGACTCCCACTGGCTGGAGCTGCAGTTGTCCCGTAAGCTCCTCCCCCCTCTTGCCTCCTGCCCATCACCCTTGAATTTTTTTGCATCATCATGTAAAGTCCATGAAAGGCAAAAAAAGGAGAGTTCTGTTTCTGCAGCACAGAAAGTACTACAGCGTAAACATAAATCTGTATTTGTTCTTGTGCTACCTCTTCCCCCATGTGGTAGGACCATCTGAAAGCGGTTCTTATTTATTACCTTGTTCTAGGGAGGGAGGGGAGAGTCCAGACCACTGGATGCTGCTCGGGAGAGGAGAGAAGGGCGCTCTGCTTTGGGGGAGGGGCCTTCTAAGAGCTAAGAACGGTTCAGAATCACTGAGTTGTTTTAGCATAGTACAATGAGGGAGGGACAAGAACCATCTGTTGGAATGGCTCTTACATGATGCTGCATTTTCAAACAAAGCCTTGTAGAGGCATTTTCAGATTGGTTTCGTTCCCTGGAGCTGCCGCAGAGCCCACTCTGCTGGCTGCTGGGCCGTGCTGCGTGGACGGCTCTCTGTCAGCACCCACTCTTTTGTTTATTTTGCACCAGTGTTTTCCTTCGAAGTATCTGCTCGGAGGCTGTCAAATGTCACTTCTGGTAGGAACCCAGAGAGTTATCCTAAAAAATCCACTGCTTCCGCCCATTCCCTTGTAAAAGTGCTGACTCTGTTTTACTTGAAGTTGGTGGAGTGACTCCGAAACCTTAAATACTTCTCTGGGAAAGAGGAAAACCACAAATACACACAGTCCATTGTGACTCTGGCCTGGTGGGCTCCAGTTTCCCCGCAGTGGTTTGAACACCCAAGCCGGCTGCAAGGGTTAAGTAAACTTCGTGGCCGAGGATGACTTCACGGCCCTGGAATTTTGAAAAGCCAGGATTCTCAGTACACTGTGGCCAGCCTCAGAGTCCTTGGGTGTGAAAACCACTCTCAGTTACCCAGACTGAGTCTTGGTTCCTGCTGCACTGCTGCAGAATCTATTAAAACCCAGCAGCTGAATTGGGCTGGCTCTGCCACAAAGCTCGGTCGCTGGGTCGACTACAGGATCCCAAGTTGTTTGTCAATGGAGAGTGGGAGTGAATGGAGGGTATGTGCTCAGCCTGGCATGAGGTGGCACCCTAGCGGCTGCTTTCTGCCTTAGAAATGAGCACTCTTCCTGCGTTCCCACACAGGGGTCATCATAGCATCCAAACTGCAGTTCATTTTTTTAAACTTCGTTAGGTCCCTGGGACCTTGGCATGTCTCCGGTACCCACATCCACACGCTTAGGTTTTCAGGTCAGCAATTTTAGTAAGAACTGCTGGCAAATACTCTAAGCTGACATGATGAAACTACTAAATCAGAATGAACACAGCTACAAGGTACAGTAAGAAAATGAAGCTCTTTGGCAGGAACAAGCCCACGTTTGAAAATATAAAATGTTCAGTGGGATGAGACACTCCAGACCTCCTGTCCTTTAAGGTGCTATTTAAATATTTGCAGTACTTTAGTTCTTTATTAAAGTGGGACAGATTTAAAACTTTCTTTTCTGGACAAGTAGCCTGCTGTTTCTCCTCTAAGTAACACGATAACTACGCCCATTGCATAGAAATTAATTTACAAAATAGATGGTTATGCAAGATCTTCTTTTGGAAGAAGCCATTTGGGCTTGAGCATGAAAGGAAGAAACAAAAAGATTATAATAAAAAATGGGCCGCAGCCCCGGCATGGACAGACGCTGTGACCTTGCCTTTGGTCTGCCATTACACAATTCAATGGCAGTCTACTCAAACTATGCTCTCGATCAATATCCTATTAAAGCAGCACAAAAAGTCTCCATAAACTTGGTGGTTAGCTATGTTTATAAATGGAACTCAGAATAATTAGATGGTCAATAGCAGGCTGTACTAGTAATTTTAAAATGAACATCACACATTTTAAATCCATACAAGTCACAGCACCTCTTCTAGAGTGAG